ATTATAATTCTGGTACTGTGAACAAAGTTGAGGATTCATCCTCCCTCGCAAGTCCATTTCCTCATCTTCACTCTTCCCAAACCGCTGGGCACCACCTCTACTTCATAACAGTCATCTTGTAAATAGAAACCAGGGGGACTGGATCAGAGAAGAGAAACCCGACCCTCCCACCTGGGAAGCTGTATGCCCTCAGTGGGTGCAGGCTCACCTGTGATTTAGCTACCTAGCTACCCCGAGGGACTCTTCTCCCTTCCTCACATCCCCGCTCAACATTCTGGCTCTAGTCTCCTCATTTAAGCATGTTCCTGAGGCCCCTGGAATGAATAAGGGATATCTCTCCATTTACTTAGTTCTTCTAGTTCTTTTTAGCAGAGTTTTGTCATTTTTCCCATAGAGATCTGGTACACATTTTGTTAGGTTAGCGCCTGAGTAGTTCATTGTGAGGCGGTGCTACTAAATACTCTACTCTTACTCTTCCCTCTTCTTAGACTAGCGCATACTCAACCTTCAGGTTTCAGAATACCTGTCAGTTTGTTTGAGAAATCTTCCTTAAGTACATATTTAATCACTTATTCAATCACTCATGCATTCATTTAACAAATAGATAATAGAATTTCTACTATGTGCCAGTTGTTATTCTAAGTCCGAGGAAGAAGACAAAGCCATAAAGTTCTCAATCCTCATAAAACTTCTGTTCTAATGGGGGAAAGGGGCAATTTTTTTTAAGATTTTATTTATTTATTTGACAGAAGAAAAGATAGCGAGAGAGGGAACACAAGCAGGGGGAGTGGGAGAGGGAGAAGCAGATTCCCCGCTGAGCAGGGAGCCCGATGCGGGGCTCCATCCCAGGACCCTGGGATCATGACCCGAGCCGAAGGCAGATGCTTAACGACTGAGCCACTCAGGCACCCCTAAAAAGGGCAATTTTTAAACATGAAATCTTCTGACAGCAGGAAATGTATCTGTGGAGGTATTCGTTAAATAATGAATAAATGAATGTTGAAGTCTGTTATGGACGCCAGGAAACTTGATTTTTGGTTAGCCTTTTCTTCCACCAAATTGTAAAAAAAAAAAAAAAAAAATGACAAAAAAATTAGAGAATCTCTTTTATGTTTCTATTGACTGCAGCCTCTGAGCTTGTTTAATGATGAGTTCACCTTCAGTGCTTAAGAAATACTTAAATGATTGCCTGCCTACTGTTTAGGAAACACATTTCGGACTATGGGCCCTCGTACAGAAATCTGCAAAGAAGAATATTAAATCTGAGATGGAGGACGCCTTTCAAAACTGAAATGGGTGGATTCCTCTGAATCTGAAGGGAAGCGAGAAGGGCACATAAAAGAATCAACACCTTCTTTATTTCAAATTAAAAGGCATCCCTTTCCCTACCCCGGATTCTAATACAAACAGCTCCAATTCCATAACCCTTCACCAAAATCAGGTTCGACTGAGCCACTGATGGTGATGTCTAACTTACTCTTCAGGTGTTGCAAGAGGCAGAAAAGTGCCAAGAACCACTTGCAGAAACATTAGTGAAGGCACTGAAAGTTTTACTATCAACTGGAAAATCCACAAATAAAAATGAAGATGAGAAAATGCATCACTAAAAATCTAATGTGCAGTTGGCTAAATGATAAACCAATTTGAATTAGTGAATACTAATTGAAAAACTGCATGACAAAGTATTTTCCCATTAAAACGCGACTTTGCTAAAGGCATTTCCAATTATGTATCATGCTTCAGTAAAAAGCTTCACACATCCTAACAACAGTGTCTTCTTCAACTTTGCCTACTGATCGAATTTTTAGCACAACAGCACCTAGCCCAAATGACTTTAAAAATTATATGCCAATGACCTTGACAATGTTCTTCAATTTTTATGAGGTTCTTTTTTTTCTCTCTCTCTGAAGTCCTCATACCTAACTGAACAGATGCTTTTAACTTGATAACCTAATTATTATCTATGAGTGTTAATATTTTTAACCTTATCAGGGTTATCTGCATCCCAGAAACTCACAGTTCACTGGACTTTACTAGACAAGTAGAATATTTAGAAATTTTAACCATCTAAAAGGACATTTTAGATGAAGGACTATCTCCCTTTGAAGTTCACAAATATTTGAATGTCCTTTCAATTGCTTAGATAACTTACTCTTCTCAAAATCAGGGCAGAGGTGACTGCTGGGAGCCAAAATTGTAGATTCCAAGCCTACAGGGAAGGGAATATATTTGGAACATAATACCCTGTTGGTGCTCAATAAATGTTTATTAATGAGCCCCATTTTTTGACCCAGGCATGGAGAATAAATCCAAGGAAGGAAGATTATGCAAATAGACAGAAAGGTCACCCAGCCCTACATGGGGGTGTGGCCCAGGGTGGGGGCAGGACCAAGTCATTCAGGTGACAGGACATTCTCCTGGGTGTATAGCAGTGACCCCCGCAACCCCCATTCCAATAGCTATCTATTCCATTGTAAAGTAACGTAGAAGGAACATTTTAGTCCGTGGCTGCAAAAACTGCTGTTTGAGGAAAAAAAATATGTAAAAAACGATTTCTCCTCATAACAGCTTAAAGAGATTCTTAAGCCAGAAGATTCTTGATGGAGAATAGAGTGAAGAGAATCAAAGCACGACCTATAAGCACCATTAGTAATTGGTATGTCCACATCGTGCAACTGCAGGATAAGGGAGAGCTCTCCTGAAGCTGGGCTTAAAAACATCTTTTCAGTGAACAGATTTATCATGAAAGTGACATGTTTGGAAGAATTACAAGGACTGGAAATTCACAGGATCCAAACTGATGACATCAGGCAAGGGCTACTCCAAAGGCAAAATTAACAAAACAAGTTTATCACCTTCTCGGATATAAAAAAAGAAAAGCCACGAAACAGTTACCAAAATGCCTTATAAGATTCATATGTCCTTTCTCTCCAATACTGCAGAGAAAAATGTCTGTATGATTTGGCACCAGTCATTAGCCATTTAAAATTATTGTTTTTAATCTAGTAAGTAAAACCAAAATTTGCTACATTTTAATAAAATATTTATGATACTTCAGGAAAATAGCTAAATAGCTCTGATCTGAAAGTGAACAATGAAACTGAACTAAACGGATATCTCCCCAGGAAGACATACAGCTCAACACACACATACATGCGACTGTCACGTATAACATTAAACTCTATTTCATAGACGTTCTCTTCTTTTAATTGAAATCTTATCTGAGGTGGAGATTACCTCTTTTCCTTCAGCTACACTCACCTTTTCTAGCCTGAAGGCCCACAACTTGTGAATTATTAAACAATCATATTTGTAGCGGCAAATTGACTTTTGAGAGAATCCATATTGATTGAGATATTCAAGACTAATGATTTTGAGGTTAAGGTGTTTAGATATTATTACCTCTGATGAACTAAATCGGTAGGGCTTTTTTTCCCCCTATTTATAATATTTTCCATTAATAGATAGTCCAACTTGCTCTTCAGCCCTACATCCACTCATCAGACCAAGAAGTGTGCCCAGCTGGCTTTCTCAACTGCGAAAGCATTTGATATGCTAAAACAATGCCAGTCGTTGCCTGCACCCACAAAATAATGGTAACTATAAGTTCGTTAGCTGGTTAGCATTCCCTCAGCGGTCAAAGTCATATTTTTAATTGTTGTTAGGCTAACGAGTCTTGCTCTGTTTCTACGCATAATTCAGAAGGCATTCCTAAACCACAGATAACTGCCAATGGAGTACATAAGAGTCACTACACGAGCGTGCAGCGGCCCAACCTGGGTAAATCCATTGCTAGTTACCAGAAAAAAGAACACCAAGTTCATGGTCAGATGTACTTTACTGTAGGTCAGCACCTCTGTCTTCATAGACAAAAGATAATACATGTTCACCTACCATAAGAATTCCTAACAGTAGTAGCTGAGATGTTTTGCATTGACTTAGGTCCTCAAAGGACTCTCAGATAACTGAAATGCTGGAACACCAGAAGCTATGGTCCCAGCACTTAATAAGGAAGATTATCTTTATGACACCAATTCTGCATGAAATCTGAGCTTAAGTGTCTGCTCTGCCACTGACCAGCTATATAACCTTGGTCAGAGTATTTAATATCACTGGGCATCTATCCATTCCTTAGTTTGAATGATGAGTTAATACCTACTGCCTAGGTTCAACAAAATAATGTAAATAAAAGCTTTCCAATTTTTAAAGTACAATGACGTGCACATCTATGTTTTTGTTGTTATCCCTGACAGGAGAGTGAGAAACTGTCTCAGGTTTTCAAGGTTGTGGGATGAGAGCCTGCAGGTCAAAGATTTTCTTTCTCTCTTACCCCCATCCAAACCACCACCAAATCGTGTTGGAACCTCCTTCAAAGTATATCCAGAGACCCTAATTACTTCTCCTCACCTCCATGTGTACCTCAAGGGTCCAAGCCACTGTCCCCTGTCCCCTAGATTTGTGCAGTTGCCTCCTAGTGGGTTTCTATGCTTCTGCCCCTGCCTCTCCTCAGTCTATTCCTTACACAGCTGCTGGAATGATCTTTTACAAAGTAAGTGAGATCATGTCACTCCTCTCAACAAAATCCTCCCCATAAATGGCTTCATCTCTTTCAGAGCCTTGTCAGGGACTTAAATGACTCTACGCATGTAGCCCTGACCCTATTTCTTCCCCGTCATTACCTCCTCCTGTTCTCTCCGGCATACTTCCCTCCATTGCTGACCTCGCTTTCCCTGAACATATCACGCACCTCCTTTCCTCAGGGCGCTTGCATCTGCTGTTCCCGCTACCAGGAAACACCCCTCCCCACCAGCCACATAACTACCCCAGCAGCTTCTTCAGGTCTTTTTGCAAATGTCATCTCAGGGGAGTCCTCCCTGACCACCCTAGAGAAAAGTACATCTCCACCCTCCTTCCCTCTCTCTAGTTTTTCCTATCTTCTGACATACTGCCTATTATCCTTCTTTGTTTGCTTTCTTCCTAGATGTAAGCTCAATGTGGGCAGAGCTTCAGTCTCCTTTATTCACTGCTGTGTGCCTAGGAGAGTGCTGGATTCATAAATGTATGTTAAAGAAGAAAAGAAAGCAAGAAGGAAGGAACGGATTCTAAATCTAGCCCTGCATTCTGACAACATCCTTGATTTTCACGAACCAGTTAAGTGTATGCCTCGTTTTTAATGTCATACGTGATCGGGCACTGCCCAAAACCATGTTGCCATAAGTGTCCCCACCCCACTGGTTACATCGCTGAAAATCAGTCACAAACCCTAGTGTAATTCCTGAGCTTAAAGCTAAAGTGGAGAGAAATGATTATGGTAAATGCAATCATTATCATTAACATTTCTGTTTATTTAAAGAAAAAAAGTAGGTAATTTCCAACTATGTTCATCTTTTCAAAAAATTGCTAACTGCCTTGAGACTCTGAAATGTCTGCTGTGACAATAACCTGAACTTGACCCTTGCAGATAATTCATTTTCCAAAGGGGAAAAAAAAATAGCACTAAAAAGATCTCAACATTTCTTAAACTGAGAATCATAATATTTCTATTCCTAAACCACATATACATTAGTCTCCAAAGTTCTCAAAGTAAAGAATAAAAAGGCTGGTTTATAATTTTTTAAACAGAAAAATGGGCAGCAGCCCTTTAAAACTTCTCAGTTGGAAAGGGATATTTTTGGTCAATGGTCTATTTTTATTTCTGCTCTGCTGTTCCTCGAGTAGTCCAATGACAAGGACCTGTCCTTCAAAGTTTTAGTCTGTGGGCACAGAATTAGCATTTTCAATTACTTTTCCCTGGATGAAGTATACAAGTTTATTTCCCTTCCCACCTCCCTCCATTCTTTCTCTTCTTCCCTTGGAGGACAGGGAGGGTGGTTTCTGGGTTGCCTTTTCTTTTTCTTTTTTCTTTTTTTTTTTTTTCAGAATTATCTCAGCAGGCTACAAATACAAATACTTTAAAAAGTAATTTCTAAATTTCCTCCCCAAAATAGGAACTGCGGATAGGATTTAAACATCATATGATGTATGCTTAAATTGTCGAGGCTACCTGTCTTAGTTAACATGTTTATTTTGTGTCACTCTTAATCAGCAGTATATTTTTGTTACTCCTATTGATTCTGCAGCAAAGCTAGTTAATGTCATTATCTTGGATAATATACTTGGAACAGTTACCCTTACAGACATTTTTAATAAAAATAAACATCAACTGGGGACTCAGAAATGAGATCAGAATGCCTTATCAACCAAAGAACCATCAGTGTTCTACTTCACATTCTTCTTTCAACGTCCTATCTTTTACCACTTTTTTAATACAACAATCTGGTCAGATCAAGGACAGATATGGAAAGGGGGGAGACAAAAAAGAAGCAGATTCTGTTTCATTTTTGGTAAAGCCAGTAGCCCAATGTGAGCAAATCAGAAAAGTGCAGAACATGTAGTTGTCTTGCCAATTCACTGGATGATGTTGGAAGGTCCTTCCTTTATTCTGGCCTTGATCTCTATCTAGCCAGAGAAGTAAATAATGCTCAAACCCTTTGGAAATACTCAGTGCTCGTTAAAGGAGGCACCCACAGAATTTTGGGAGTATTCACTTCAGTTCTTTCTAGTATTCTGCTGCTCTACTTTTAAGGCTTGAGGGGAGGTACAAGAGACACAGAAGTCTGGGATCTAATCTCTTCTACTGCAAAGAGCCATCCTTAGATACAAAAACAGGCAACTGATGGACTAACCAGAACACCTCGTATACCGATGGGAAAGGACCACAATTTGTTGAGCACCCACCACTTGCTGGGTGTTTTACATAATTCTATTTCAAAGAGCAGATACCTGGGATAGATCACTTTAACCACTTCTACCAAAAAGCTCAGCATCAAATTGTCTTACCCTATGCTGAAGACTGCAAAAAGGGCTACTGTCCATGATAGGTCCAACCATTGTCTGTAAGTTCATTAGCTCTGGAATTCTCCCAGGGCTTAAGTCTATTTTAGAGCATGTTTTGCAGTCTGTCTAACATCAACTAATAGAAACATCCTTCAAGTTACTTGGAAAGCTCTATCCAACAAAACTGCTAGTGCTAACACAAAAAGTATGAAGAAATTGTTAGGTGTGGAAGATGTATAAATATGCAAAATATAAATCACTTTAATAATTCTAAACTAATACTTACTTGAAGCTATAGGAGTATAATCTAGCATGTCAATGGAGAAAATGCGCTTAAAAGTGCGTGCGTGCGTGTGTGTGTGTGTGTGTGTGTGTGTATAACACACATAGTACTTCCTGCCCCCATCTACTCAAGCACACCCAGGTTAAAAGAAAAAGAAGTTGAAAAGAATGAAACGAAGACGTTCTTCCATGAGGCTGCAAATGTTTAGCTATTGGGTGAGTCTCTAAACCCTGTCAGGGCCACTGGCTGTTTGATTCAGTTTACCTTTGGCAGGTGTAACCTTCATAATCCAGTGTCTCCATTGGTCTGACCTTTACTTGGCAATATCTTTTTAAAGCAATAGCCTTCAGTGTTAAACACCTCTTAACTATGGGCTCATTGAACAAAGGTAACATTCATCTCTTCATTTCACAAAGACAGGCAACGGTAGCAATTTTTATTTGTAGGAACCTAACTGCCACTTAGACTCATTTTTATTACTCTTCAATAATGAGGATTGTGTTTTGTTGTGTGCTTAAATGATAGGTTGTACTCAAATGAACCTGCCCTTCCTCCTTATTACTCTTATGACTTTCATAAGGAAGGAGAGAGAAAGAGAGTGTTTGGGCACATTCCATTCTGCGTCCAGCCTTAAATCAAGTGCCCTAGAGGGGAAGTAGGTGAATCTGGAGCTCCCCCCAACCCCTCTATTAGTTTAATCACAGTGGACTCCAGGGTACGGAGCATCCAGAGCAAAGACAAAATTATCTTCTCCATATACTATGCTCAGAACTGTTACATTTATATTCTTAAAAGGGTTAAAGGCAGTGGAATGTCATTTCCTTCTCTCTTATGTCTGTTTCTTGCACTGTTTGGAGAAACGATAATTGATCCATTACTGGCTTGAAACGTGTAGGCAAAACTTTCTTTGCAATCTTCGAGACTAGCACATTTCCTCTGCCTTCTCCTAGGGCATTGGACCTTATCTGCCAAGCCCTTTGCAGTCAAGTTCTAATGCCACCCAACGATATTAGGGGGAAAAACCCTAACAAATTGGAGACTACATAAACTAATTTTCCAGTGAGGACTTGTACTTCTGTTTTTAATCTAAGAAATGAAGGGACTACTTTGTGAAATTTTTAGCTATATTTTTAGTCTCAATGGCACTTCCTATTTGGAGAGCACTTTCTCAAACCCTTCTACATGGAATGTAAGAACTGAAAAGTTCCTTAAAATTTGAGAATAAGTACAAGGTCCCACAGCTGGCTGGTGCCTGGCCCTCCAAGAGACTAAGTGTCCTGACTCCCTAACCAGCCTTCCTTCATCTATGAATTATTTATAATACCAGGCACTTGCAACCTCCTGAGTTGTTGGGTGAGAATAATTTACCAATAGGATGAATGGGGAAACAAGCCATGGAGAATTCAAGGCCCTTGCCTAAAACGAGGGTTAGCAAAGAACTGCCACAGGGCCATATCTGACTCCCCCGACCTCCACCCTCCTACCTGCACCTGTTTTTTAAAGAAAGTTTTATTGGGACACAGCAATACTCATTACTTTACATACTGCCTAAGGCCATTTTTGTGCTGTAATGGCTGAGCTGAAGAGAAAAAGGAACATATTTACTGTCTGGTTTTCACAGAACACGTTTGCTAGTTCCTGGCCTAAGGTACACAGTCAGTGTCAGACTGTGTATTAAAACTCAGCTCTCACTCTTTTTACACAGAGAATAGAATAACATCTATTCAAATGTGCTACGTTAATCCTACCAGAATCAAGAAAGATCTCCCGGACACTGCGCTAACTCTACAAAGTCACATGCGTTATCTATCTTTTGATCTCTATCCACATCCTTACCATGGCCAACCCTGTGTCTCTGTTTCCCAATGCCTTGTGCCATGCTTCTGAATGCCAATCTCTTCAATGACAGGGCAGAAAGAGCCATCTCTATGCATGTACCCCATCCTGCCCCAGTAATGTATAGCTACATTGTATCGAGTAGGAAACTGTTCCTGTGCATCAACTGAGGAAATGAAAACTGTAGGCTGTTTTGGCTTCTTGAAGGAGTTCAAGGTCTCTTCCCTTTACTGTTCTCTCCTCTCCACCCTTTCTTTCCAGAGGAACACATGCCTAGAGCTGATTTGCTACATGCTTAAAGGGGCGAACCACTCCTGGAGCCGAAGGCCACAGCAAGCTGGTGCACATGGGCTGGTTCTCTTCTCCTTCACTCACGTGATCTGACAGCCCACCCTAAAGAAGTTTGCTCCCATGCTTTGTCTCTCTTTCCCACCCTTCTGTCTTTTCTCTTCTCTGGGAAGCTAGCCAGGTAGACTCACAGATGTAGCTTAGACTGGCTTGATTCTGAAAACTGAAAAGCCCCTCTAGCATTCCCCCTTTTCTCTGGCATGAGCTCCGGCCCCAGTTCCTGAGACCCCATGGTGGGGACATGCCAGAGAGGCCCTTCTTTGAAGGGTGCTAATGTGTGATTCAGGATTGGCCTTACGGGGCATTAAGCCTCTCCTTTGAACTTACCAGGGTTCTGCTCTTGGATTTGGCACTAAACACACAGCCCCAATCCAGTATTACAGTATTACCCCGACCCCTGTTCCTACTCTAACCTAGGATTTGCCAGTCATAAATATCCCTTGAGATTCTCAAAAGATAGAAAGCTTGCTCATGGCTGGGATTCTTCAGTCCTTGGGTTATCTGGACATTGTACCAGAGAGAGATGACACAGAATAAGATAGTGGATCCAGGACATCTAGATTCAATATCCATTATCAGTCACTTACTAGCTGCTTGGCAAGTCACTCAAACTCTGCACCTCTGTTTCCTCCTGTGTAAGAGGGGGACAATAAGAGTCCCTATCTCATTGGTATTGTGAAAATTAAGGTTAATAGATCTAAAGTACTTAGAACTATGACCGGTGCCATAATAAGAACTAGAGTAAGTATTTGGTAATTAGGATGAAAATTGAAATTTTATTTTAGAGGAAAACTGTCACCAACACAT